ATTGGCTGAACAAGAAGTAGGACTGAGGGGACTGGTAGATTCTAAAATTTTACATTGTTTTGTTTTTGAGTGCAGTTATGTAACAAAAAATCTACATTTGTAAATTGCCTTTTCATGATAAAGCAACTGAACTACAGCACTTGTATGTGGTGAATTGAAAAAATACTATTTTTACAGTGCAAATACTTGTAATCAAAAATAAATAGAAGCACTGTACACTTCGCATTCTGTGTTGTAATTGATATCAATATATTTGAAAACGTGGAAAACATCCAAACATATTTAAATAAATGGTATTCTGTTGTTTAACAGTGCGGTTAATGTTTTTAATCGCGTAATAGTGTGGATAGCTTTCTTCCACAGGAGGAGTGCATTTGGCTGTTTAGTCTTTGTTGCTCAAATGCTCTGGCTGGGTCAGAAGAGATGGAAATACGAAAGCAGATCTCCGCACACTGAAGGCACCACAGCCTTTATTCCTTCACTACCCCTAATTATTCATTATTTGTATTCCAGTAGCCCCTATAAGGCCCAACCAAGATCAGGGCCCCATTGTGCTAAGCACTGTACAAAGACTAGGTAAGAGAATCTCTGCCACAGAGCTCTCACAGTCCAAAAAGACTAAATATTATTGTCCCACAATGGGATACAGAGGGAATAAATGACTTGCTCAAGGCTACACAGGAATTCTGTGATAGAACAAGGCAGTAAACCTAGGTTTCCAGATTCCTAATCCAGTGCCTTAACCACAGGACCATTCTTCTCCTTGCAACCCTCCTAGTAAACCCCTGTACATGTTTGAATAGGAGGCAGGGCAGACTAGAACCTGGCATGACAGGATCCCCTGGGCAGATGAGCGATTGTGAAGTATTGCCCTCTGGTTTCTCTCAGAAAGAAAGGCACGGAGTCACTCAAGAGTGCATTCTTTTCCTCTAGGTAGCTGTTTTTTTTTCTCTCCATACAAAATATAGCCATCCAGTGTATTCAGCAAAAACACTCTGTTCTCATTGCATATGGAAATATACGATGGATGAGTTTTGCTGACACATTGGAAAACTGCTCCTATTTTAACTCTTAGTATATTGCCATTAGCTAAGTAATAACTTTTTTTTTCAACAGAGAAAACACAAGGGAGGAAGTGATTTTTAAAAAAACAAACAGACCCAGGGCTAGTTTTTTTTTTGTTATATCCATTTACCCAGATTCAAATCCAGAATAGCTCCATAAAAACAAATGGCGTTACTCTGGATTTATACCACCCTTACTGAGCTGAGATTTTTGGCTTCCTATCTTGGAAGGGTAGATCCTGGCATCTAAATTATTCTCTAAATAAGGATCAATTTTTAATCACAATCCTCCAAATTCACCCTGGTATAGCTTTGGAATTTAGCTAAATTATTACAAAAGACTCTTTGATCACAGAGAGAAAGACAGGAACGTTTACCATCACCTGTACACATCTGCCGTGGAAGTGGGGACAAAGTCTGACAACGAATGGGCCTCAGGAGCCAAGTAAATCTGCATCAAACGCTGCTGATAGGCACTGGCACCCTCATAATGATCCTCTTTTCTGTAGGCCTGCAATCCATAGTCTTTCATGGAAGAAAGAAGGAAACAGGTACTCAGTAAGGGTCATGTTCCATTATTAAGTAGCAATATTAGTGGTTTAAAGGCGTTTGCTCTGTATGGGGAGATGAGACTTGGTTTAAAAAAATAGCACTATGTTGCTCTGATTTGTACCCAAATATAGTTGTGAATACTGGAACTGCAGCTGGAATACTGGGAGAGATTGGCTGGTGAGGTATGAGTGCTTCTTGCTAACCCTGTGGTGGTGTTTCTGGCCCAACGTATCCAGCCATGGTAGGATCATTGCAGTGCAAGCCAGAGTCCGCATACCTGCTTCTTTTCTGCACCTCCTTGCTGCCAGTTTAGGGGTGTGCCCAAAGAAAAGGGGGTGTGGTTGGGACATCCCTCAGCTGTGATGATCTCCAGCTGTGGTTTCAGTGTCTTTGGACTACATAGATGCCAGGGTAAGTCAGAGCAGCTCTCAGACTCTTCCAATGCATGCTGGAAGAGGCCTACACACAGAGGCCACAGCATCGGGGGACTGTAAAGGGGAAATTTCCACCAGCTTTGTACCCCATCTTCCAACCTGCTTTGTATGAAGCTCGTCTGGACCCCAGGATCTGACCCAAGGTCCGGGTGCTGAGCTGTGTTCAGAGAACAGAATGATACAAATTCTGACTTCTATTTCCTAGATCCAGACAGCACTGAAATTTGGTATGTGGAGGCAGGGGTTCAGGTTGGTGGTTTTGGTTCAGACCAGTATCTAACTGGGACACTCCAAGGATCCCATTCTTTAGACTGGAAGCCCAGCTTCTCACCTAGCTGTGAACGGGTACTGTGTTTATTGTCTGAAAGGAGGATTTGCCTTATGTCAAAGAATGGCATCAGGCAAAGAATTCATAGAGAATGACATGGATATACTGCTAGGTCTGATGACTGACTCCATCATTTGTGTCATATAATTGGTGCAATGGTGACATGTTAAATTGTAGGCTAGACAGGATAATGTAGTGGGATGTTTGCTCTGGCATAGTTTACTTTTAATGAAGGCTGCTGCAGTTAGCATTTCCACCTGGAACGTTGGTTCACAGTCCTGCTGGAGCAGTGAAGGCTGTGAAATCAACCTGCATTAGTAGGTTAGTTGGCCATGTTTCAAATTTTCATCTCTCTTCATTACCTGAAATTTTACAGACCCAGCGGTCGTCTATCACACAGTTATTAGACTTTAAGCATCCGTGATAGATTTTATGCTGGTGAAGATAAGCCATTCCTTGGGCAATGTCTCCAGCAAAGGAAAACCTGAAAGGCACAAAATCATTATTAACATGTTAGTATTCCACTGAACCAGACACTCAGGAAGGGATTAATCCAAAGACTATTGAAATGAGTGGAAAGACTCCCACTGACTTAAATGGCCTTTGGATCAGTCCCCAGGGACTCGATCCTGCAAAGTGCCGAGGACTCCCATGAGTTGCTGAATGCCCTCAGTTCCCATACAGTTGAATGGGAGTGGAGGGTTCTGGGTCCCTTGTAGGAATGCACAGATTCTTGTGGAAGTTCTC